CAATAATTAATTGAATGAAAAATTTTTAACATGAAAATTTTTTTACGTGCTCTACATGAAGAAAACAGATGTCATTTATAAACGTTTATTCGAGGAACAGACAAGGTTGTCCGTGAACTTTATATTTAATATATTTAAAATTATAAGAGAAATATTTTTGAACGAAAAATATCATTAGTATCATATGATTTTCTATTATTTTGTTTTTTGAATTTTAATAATTTAATTATACTTATTGGTTAATTACATACATTATTATTAAAAAGTTTGTACATTTTAGGTTGTAGTTTAATACAAAGAAAAAAATACTTTAAATGTTGCATATTAAGCAATTTTTACTTTTTCAATCTGCATAAGTTTTTAAAATACAGAAGTACAAATATGAAATGTTTAATATTAAAATCAGAACAAAATTGGCCACATTACCTAATACGCATTTATTTCTTAACTCAAGTGAGTTAAGAACTTTAATACTGTAAATTTGAACTCAACTGAGTTCAAATTTACAGTATTAAAGCACAATTCAGCTTGTTATGAGTTGATAGGATAGTTCTACGGTTTCAATACGAATAGTAAAGCCAAAAAAACTGTTAGAGTATGTGATTAAAGATTGATTATAGCTTTAATTCTGTATACTAATTAAAACCAATAAATAATTTCAAAGATAATAACATTGTTATTTTTTTGCCACTAAAAAAATATTTATTGAACGGAATACTGAATTTACAACTCTTTATTCCTTCTACAATTTCTGTTAATTCAAACTGATTCGAGACCGTGGATTTGTTTTTAACTTCAAGTCGTTCGTATAATTAGTTAAAAATTTTAGATTCGCTTCGAATTTCATAAGCTCTTAAGTGATAAATATACATTAGAGTGTAAATTAAACAAACAAATCAAACATTCTAAAAACTGCGGGCATAATATTCTGTCTACCATAACTTTTATAAAACAACTTAAAAATTCGAATGGCCAGTGTACAAAATTAATATTATAAAACTGTCTTAAAAAATTATAATAAACGGAAACTACTTTGTCAAATTTCACTAAAATTTTGTATACTATTCAAGAAATTTTTTTCTTTCATTTGTTGGATTACTGAGTTCGAAAACAAATTTTATAAACTCAGCGAAATCAACAAATAAAGCATTTTAGTATAAGTATATATGTAGGTACTCTAATACTAATTATTTTAAAAAAATTCCTTTAAAATACCCTTAATTGGGCTTAAAAATATTTAAATAACTATAGACGGTATATCTCATTAATTTCGTATTAATCAAGTAAATATGCACGAATAAACTGTAAAACAACTAAGTACACTCTAAGTATATAATATGTATACATACTTGTATATATATATTTATACAGGAACTTTTTAACAATATTATACAAAGTACTTTCAACTCAAACAATATTGAAAATACTTTAATCTTTTGTACTCGAATAAAAAAATCTATAACATTACCGGTATATTATAAATTATATTCGTGCATGTTATGAAATTTTATACAATATAAATGTACGTATATGTTTACATACTTATGTATTAAGGTATAAGTGAATGTCAACAGAAAAACTACTGAATAAATAATACAATATAACAAATATAAATACTAAACAGGTAACGCGATACAGGTGAAAATTTAGCTAATACGTTTTTTTTTTCTTTCTCTTATAAATAATTTAGTAAATAACAACAAAAACAAAATTGTAAACAGAAGCTAAAGAAAAAATAATATTTTTCCATTTGTTTATAACCTAAAAATAAAAACTACTATAGTTATACACATACATACATACATATATAATAATTTTTATTCCAATTTATTAAATCGATTTTGAACTCAATGAGTTTAGCCATACCTTGTACATACACCTATGTTTAGTATAACACAATGTACATATATAGTTATTCTATGCCATCCAATAGTTATAATATAAATAATTGAAGTACAAAGAAATAAAAAATGAAAAATAATAAAAAAAAAATTATTATTTCCGCTTTTCATCGTCATATTGTTTACTCTTTTATACCAATTGCAATGCACCGCGTTTTTTTATTATACTAGTATATAGAAAGAAAAGAAAATACACAGAAAAAAAATTTCAAACAAAAGACAACAAAAAATCACTTAAGGATTTATTTAAGCATAAAATTTTTATGTAACGTGAATTATTATTATACCGCTAAAAATGCACCATACAATAAATAAATTTTATATAAATAAAAATATGTATATGTATGTATGTATAAATAGATTTTATTAAATATCAAATCTTATTACAAAATATTTACATATACGTACACATATAATTCGTCTTGCCCAATTCACATAATTTCATTATTTTAAATTTCATCATCAAAATATAATTTAATATGGTAAATTGTTATACAGAAACATTTAACAATGCAATCTGAGTTTGTCTATAATAAATTTATTATAATTTGATTAAAAATTCAATCAAATGCATTTAAGCGTCAGCTTTGATATAAATCGTAATTTACATTCCAGTATCATTTTATATAAGGCTTTCATAGTTATAATGTTTTTAATAACCGTAATATTACAAGGTACGATGCTAATTGGGGTCATAGCATACCCATGTTAACCAATCAAACCAACTATCACTGAAAAAATTCCAATATCATAACGAAATTAAAAACGTAAATTTTATAAACCAGGCTTACATTAATTTACATTCTTTGTAAGTATATATACGTTACGAAGGTTACATTAAATTTCCTTTCAATCTGGACCGTAAACAGTTATTTAGGCAAAGATTGGTTCGAACGACTGAATCAATTTCAGGCATTACGTACGACAATTTATATACCTTTAAATTAATAAACTTTTATTCGTAATAAAAGTTTATTAATTTAAAAATAACTATCTAATAAGTTAAGATTTCATGATAACTAATATTTTAATGAATTGGTACCCCTAATTTTAATTAAAAGTTCCTTAAAATATAATTACAATTTGAATTTTGGTAATTTCTTAAAATATACTAAGTAATTCAGTTTGAAAATAAATTAGGGTAAAAATTTGAATTTTAAATTATACATGGTAAATTAAATCTTGATTCCTAAAATAAATGAAAACAAAATTAAGACTTTATTATTATAAATCAGCTTGGGTTATTTTTGGCTTTTTCTTTATGTGTTTAAACCGACGGACCCAGTTCTCGAAAAAGAAAACATAAGAAAAACAAAATGTATCCAGTTATATGTAAGCTAATTATGCTAATGTATGCAGTAATCCCTCGCACAAAGACTCTTCTATTTCGCAAAACTTGATATAAGTAGTAAGACCTTAGAATTTCCTTATACTTTTCCTTATACTTTACTTTAGTCCATTGAGACTATGCTCAAAGCTATTAATCGCTTTGAATCATTTTATTTAAAATTGTAAATTTTCGGTACCTAAAAACGATATTAATTGTTGGATATTTTCATCATCCGTGTATGTTAATCAAAAATGTAATTAGAAACTTAAATAATAAAATTAATTTTATGACACATTAATCATTATTCTTTAAAAGAAGAATAAGATATTCTCTTCAATAGATTTCTTTTTTAAAATAAGGAGTAGAACCCTTGTTTTTAAAATAGTTTGTATTATATTTCAAAACCTATATGATTAAATTAAGTTATTGAAGATTTATGGCAATTGCATTAATAACTCTCATAATAATTCAACAAATTAAAAAAATATGCACTAGCCTTTCAAATTTATTCATTTCCCTATACGCTTCGTTTCCGTATTGTAACCTTAATTATTGTTTCCGGTATATGAAAAGCTATATATTTGAGTCGCTTATCAAAATTCGTTTTTGATAACCATCAGCCTACTTTAAGGCTTTTAATTTAGAATTAACTTTTAAAATAACTGTAAATATTATTACAATACTTCGTCTTACTAAAAATAAAGATAATAATGTTATGGTTTATCACTAATTCAAAAATAATAACATGTATTTGATTTATGGTATCTCTTTAGTATTAAACGCGATAATAAAGGTGTTAAACATAAATTATGAAAACCTTAAAATTTAGAATTTTTGTATTATTCGAGTATAAAATTTTGTAAGGTGAAAGGGGGCAGGGGTTTGGGTGCAATTAAAAATTCATTAATTATAAAATAAAATATAAATCTTTCATATTATGAAGTACATTGAAAAATTTATAACACTTTTTCAATTTTTTTTTTTGTGTTTACTTTTGGTAAGTAATTTGTTTGCTTTTAATTCTTACTTTCTTCGGTATTAAAATTTTCTTTCTTCTAATTTTTTAAAATAATTCCATTTTCTTTTTGTCTTATGGTTTTCTTTTCTTATGATTTTTCATTTTCTTAATAAAGAATAAGTATATACAAGTATTTTGGTTTTTTTTTTTTCTCCCAAAAAAATAACTTTTTGTCTCAAACTTTTTCTACATATTAAAAAAATGAGAATTCTTTTTTCTTTTCTTTTATTTTTTTTTGAATTTTCAACTTTTTCTTTTAATCATAACCTTTTTTTTTTCTAGATTATTTTTTCCCGTTTCTTTGCTTTATTCTTTACGTTGCTTTATTTTTATTTATTTTATCTAACTACATACATATATAGTATATATTCACATGCACGTATATAATGTACATGTATTTTTGATATCTAGGTAAATATACCTTATATACATATTTTAGTTATAGTTGCTGTCTCTATAAATTTTTATAATTATATTGCCATATGAACTCGAACCTCATATCATAGATTTATATATTATATGTGACAACATACATACATATACTTGCATATATGTACCCACTATTATACCGTTGGAATATAAACAATTTTTTATCTATTTCTAACTATAAATTATATGTTATAACATTTATTACAAATATATAATGTGTATATGTATATAAATATTAAGTACATACACAGTTACATTCTATATTATTTTAACACTAGAAAATATAAAAAAGAAATATTAAAAAAATATTCATGACACACACCTTTGCTATGATGATTGAAGAAAAAATAAAAAAAAAAAAAGAGAAATTGTTTTTATTTTTCTTCTTTTTTTTTTAGTATAGGAACACCAAAAAATAATAATGAAAAAAACAAAGAATGTTAGTTATATTTTTTGTTGTTATATTCTTGTTGTTATTATTGTTGTTGTTGTTGTTGTTGCCGCTATTGTTTCTGATAAATGATGTGTTCTTTCGCGAACACAATATAGATACATCCGTTCTACTGTAAGTATTTAGTTTGCCTTTTCTTTTTCTTATTATTATTTTTTTTAACGTTATTATTCTTATAAGGTACTACAAGATATTATTATATTCACCCTCGCTGTAAAATTTAATTATATTTTATTTTCACCTATATACTTTTTATTATTTACTCATTTGTACACAAAAATTATTTTTTTTTTATATTTTTATTATTTTTTATCAAACTCATATATGCACATGTGTATAATAATTGAACTTAATTTTTTCTAGCACATTTGTTCCAATATTTATTATAGGTATATCAATATAATTTTGTTATAAATTTTTAAATAACATTCATACACATTTATAACAAATTTAATTTATTTGAATTCAAAATTATTTCTAATATAAATTAAATTATTTTTTATTATTTAAATTAATAAAAATTTTATTATTTATAATAAATTTTTTTTAACTTCCGTTTGTTTGTCACCCCCCAGTTTTTTTATTTTTTCAATAAAAAATTTTTTTTTTTGCTTATTTGCATAAATTTTTAATAGAACACCAAAATATTTTGTGATAATTTTGAATTATTTAAATGCACAAAAATTAAAATAATATAACAATAAATAAATTTATAGCTATTTTCATTGAATTTTAATAAAATTTTAATAAATTTTTGATTTATATTATTTACACCGCTAAATTTATTATTTATTACATAAAAATATAATTTTATAAGTATAATAATATAACACTAACAATAAACATATAAAAAATAATATAATAATGTAGAACAGTAAATTAATTTTGTTTTTACATTATTTTTCCAATAAAAATATAAAGTATAACAAATAATATTCAAAATTCGCGATATTCTTATTATTAAATAATTAAAAAAAGAACAACAAAATTTAATTTTTTTTTTTTTTTGCCGGAAATTTCAAACAAAATACAACCTTTCACTATGCCGTTTTACTCTAAACTGAAAATTAAAAAATTTTTGAAATTGAATGTTGAATGAAAGTTGAAAAATAAATTTGTTTCTTATTATTTTTCTTTATAGTAAATTGACTTTATTTAAGTTTTGTTGTAGTTGTATAATCGTAGTATAACAGTTATTTTATATAATATTTGCGATATTACAGTGTTTATTTACTTATTTAAAAAAGTTATCTGTTATACAGAATTAGTTTACGGGTGTGTGTAAATATGTATATAATATAAAACATACACTAGTAAGAATAAGAGAAAGAAAAGTGAAATAATGACGTAAAAATGTGTAAATTAAGTTTTCCTGTTCACTATGAGGTTACATTTATAATTAAATCAATATTTGTACCTAGAAATATTTAAATATAAAGTAAATTGTTGTAATATTGGGAGATACGTTAAAATTAACGAGATTTTGCTTTTTTATATCAAAAATATGATTTTAACTTTTTCATGTATTATATTTGTAATCTGAGTTACTGAATTTTATTGTTAACTGACATGTATACTACTATGAAATAAATTAAATGAAATGAATACTTCGGTGTAGTTGTCGAATGCGATTGTTTTAATGCCATAGATTTTATATTTGAAACCTACAGGGATGTTTCCAATTGCTTTTCAAGCAAAAATACAAGCCATGGATAATTGCTATCAACTTGATTTGAATGGTGGCCAGCGTTGATAAGAATGTGCAATAATATTGAAAAAAAAAATTTAAATTAAACAAAATGAAAAGCTTACATTCAAGGAGAAGTATGTTGCTACTGCATAGGACCAGAAACTTGCAAGCGAAAGAGGGCCTTTGGGAAATTACGATTAGAAGCATTTTTAAGCATTTGTTAAAATAAATAAAAATCATGTTATACATACTGTTCAATGATGCTTTTTCTTTATTACGCTTAAATAATACATGAAAAATTCAGTAAACAAGAGGTTAATGGACTGTAAATATTGATTTAAAATTATTATTGATTTAAAAAATTTCTATAATAAAAAAAATAAAAAAGATTTTCAAGATTTTGTACGTTAAGATTTGAAAAATTTAAATCATATTAATAATACGGCAATCATTAGCATTATAAATATTAAAAGTTACATGTATAAAACAATTTTTAGTTTTTAAAACTGCGCTAATAACTAAAATTTTTAAATTAACACAAAAAGTCCTTTCACGTAAAAACATTCTTGGTGGATTGCCAAATTCATAACAGATTCATTACACCTTTCGGAAACTAACACAAACAAACAGAATTAAAAAGAGAGTTTTGCGTAGTGTTGCCGTTTAAGAAATAAGGTATGTCCGATAAATCAAATAATATATTACGGTATTTGAAAATATTTAATGACAACGAAAGATTTTATGGTGATATTGTAAAATTAAAAAAAAAAAAAAAATATCAATGGAATTAATTATTCAGGCCTGATGATTTTATAATACGTACAAAGAAAACTTTGGGTAAAAGATGTTAAAAGACAGTTGCTATGTAATTGTCTGCGATATATGTATCTTGAAACTATACTAGTCGACCACATTAATGAAAGGTTTTAAGTTTATAAATACACAATACATAAAATTACACGTTTCATTTATATGTTAAATTTATAGCTTTGAATTTCTACAGTGCACAACATACAACGATAACACTTACGTAGTAGACATATCATACTTAATATTAGAGAAAAGTCTTATTATTAGTTATTTACATGTATAACAGATAAAATAACAACATTTATCACACATACATTAAGAAAAAAAATAAACAATAACAGCTGTTCTTAGTTGAATCTTAAATGTGTATTATTTACAAACTATGAGTATACCAACACACACAAAAACTTATAAAAAATGTAGTATATAGTACAGATGTACCCATGTACAATTATATACATAGATTAATTTTATTTTAAGCAAACAAGTGAAGCACAAAAAGAGCAACAAATGCATAGCTTCTACACAGAAAACTTACAACTAATACATTAAATATTACCTATAACGTGGACTTGCGTATGCATACCTTTGTTGCATTTCTGTTGCACAAGTTGCTATAATAATAAAATTTCAATCTAGTGGGCATATATTAATACAAGCATACTCAGCAGATATAAAATTTTGCAGTCGCTTTAGAGCAAGGTTTATCCATCTAATAATAAAGTAGTTTCCTTCTCTGCTAACAGAAACCTAATACAATTTTTTTTATCATACAAAATATTGTCTGTAGTTAAAGACATCATTTTTGATACAGTCGTTTGGCTGCAATTTTAAACTGAATTTGTGGAAATGTGCTGGAAATGTTGAAAGGTATACATATATACTTTATTACATTTATACTTTGGTTCAAAATTGTTATAGTTTTTTTAAGTTTATCAAAACGTTACACATTACATACATTAACCTACAGAACGATGAAACTTAAAGAGAAAATAAACATTTAAGAGAAAAATATTTGTAAATTACAATACTGCATGTTTTATATTTTATAAGAAACTGAATATATTGCATATATTTAGGAGATGAGTAGATACCAAAATATTTAAATACAATTGAGTACTTCACATTTGAGTACTGGAATTTAGTAAAAAACTTGAAATAATAATTCTGATAAAAGTGCTGATTGTATTAGTCTAGGAAGGCTTTAAATAGATAAAAATAATTAAATTTTTAACCTTAAATTTTTATATCTGATTCCGAACACTAATGATATCCTAAATATGTGAGATATTTTTATTTTAGATTTTATGTAAACATATTTAACGTATCAGCGTTAACAGGAATTTACTGTCAAGCAAATTTTTATTATTTACTGTCAAGTATCTCAATACATTTATAAGTAATTATCAAAATTATATGTTTAATTTGAATATTTAATGCTCCTACAGAGAGTTGTGCTTGTACAGATTTAACTCACAATATGAATTTAATTTTAATATAATTAAGTCAAATACGGTAAAGTTCAAGTTTCCACCTACCAACTCAGGTCTCATATAACTACTTAGAACTCCATTGCAATAGAATTAAAACAAAGTAGTGCAGTCAATAAAAACCTCCTATTAGCAACGAAGGTGAAAACTAAAAAATCATAAAACAAGTAAAACAAATGCTGTTCAAATAAAATAAGCAAAAGATTTCGGAAAACAGCAGTTTCGAAGAACTTCAAAATTGAAACGATGGCTTTATGCAGTACATTTACAAAAACGCAGAATTCTAAAAAGATCCGGAAACGATAGTTGAGAAAATCTTTAAGATAATTGAAAAAAAATTCGAAAAAACCCTTTTTTCTTTACATCATGAAACAATGTTTAACAGTCTTCTTTTGCGACCAAAAAGGGAATTCAAGATAATATTCCAGGCAGAAGAACCAACTGGAAATTTTTAAAGTGCCCTTCAATCAGCTGTATCAAACCACCCTTGTTAGAACTCTAAAAAGACAATATTTCAAGACAATAATACTTAAATTCTAGCAACGGCTACCTGTCTTACTGCTTTAATTTGCTTTCTTATTATTTTCTAAAATCTCATACACAACAAAATTATAACAAGAACACTAAAAGATTATAACAGTTTTATTCCAAGTTTACATATATCACTTTTTATACACTCTTAAAACAAAAAAAGGCTTGTCCTTCATATAAAAGAAAAAAGGATATTTTTTGGTGGATTGCTTTCCTTTATCGACTTTCATATTCCCTTACTGGGGAATTGTTATAGCTTTTCCTTTTGAATTATAAATGAAAATAAAATATATCCTTTATAAATTTCTTTTTTTTATCTTTATTTTATTTAGAATTTATTTTGTCATGGCACATAAACCTGTCGATTTAAGAATTTTCAATTTTTAATATTTTTTCTTGGAATGTTTACTTTTTTCATGTATGCAATTTACAGTGAACAAAACTCATAAATAAAATTAAAAATTTCCCCAGGCTTATATCCTACATATTTATATTATGAGAACATTTTTTGTTTATTCTTTTTACATCTAAAATATAACCGAAGTTTAAATCTAAAACTTATTTCTAAATTTTGTGTTTTTATGTGCAATTTGTTGATCTTTGTCCAGATATTCCTCTTAATTCTTGATTAAGGGTCCTTAATAAAGGATGTTTACCACAGCCACAACGTCCTCTGAAATCATCTAAATCTAAAGCCCATATCATACCCCCACCTAAATTCATACGTTTCAAGAACTGAGATTTTCTTCGTATATCCTCAACGTCATCATATGACACCCATTGATTTCCAGAATATGCATATGGTCCCATACGTCCTTCATTATCGCGTACAACCGTCCAACCGCCACTGTTGACTTTCTCGCAAATCTCGTAATAAGCCAAGAAACCAGCTGCTCTTGTATAGCGACCAGCTTGTCCAGGACCAGTTATTTTTTGATTTAACCCTTTCTCTGTAACACCTTGTGCTAATGTAAATGATTGGCCATATAATGGCATTCCCATCACTAATTTTTGTGGCGGAGCACCTTTTTCAATCCAATAATGAATTGAGAAATTTCCATTGAAGTAGTCATATTTATCACCTGGCATATAATACAATGGAGCCACATGCCCAGTTTCTTTATCCCAATGGCCATGGAAATCGTAAGTCATAACAGCAATCCAATCAAAATATTTTGCTAAAACCGGTACATCATACCCAGCATCAATTACTTTTTTACTTGGCGAAACAGCAGCTGATAACAACAATCCCCTTGGTTTAAAGGCAGCTGATAATTCTCTTACAAAAGCTGCAAATGCTTGTTTTTCATCAGGCTTGCCTTTGTCACAATCCACTTGCCAGCAAACTGGATATTCCCAATCTAAATCTAAGCCTTCAAAACCATATTTCTCAAGAAAATCTACAACGTGTTTGATAAATCTAGCCCTAGCCTCAGGATCTCTAACCAATCTGCTGTACTTGTCACCTAATGAATCATTCCAACCTCCGATAGCTAAAGTTACTCGAATACCTCGATTTTTGTATTCTGCAACCTTTTCATAGAACTTGTTATCTATATCGGCCCACGAATCATGAGTTTTAATCGTTAAAGTTTGACTATTCAAAACAGCGAAGCCATAAACAATATGAGTACAAAGATTTTCATCTATATCACTTGGCCTGTATTTTCCTTCTCCTGGTCTGTACCATGCCCAATTCGTAAAGTAACAGACAACTTTATACTTTTCATCTCCTTGCACTACCGGTGGCTTTGAGTCTGGTGATTGTGGCCTAGATGTTGTTCCTGGACGTTGTTCAGGTTTCCATGAACTTGTTGTTGTTGTTATTTTTCTAGTCGTAGTAGCTTCAGTCTTCGGTGTAGTTGGTCTCATAGTAGTTTTTTGTGTCGTGGTCATTCTATCTGAAACAATGCAATTAGCTTTTTGCGGCCAATCACAGTGGTTTTCATTCCAATGTAAACCATCGGGACATCTATCAAAAAAATAAGTATGTAAGTCTTTGTCAAATTCTGTATAAGAATGAAAGTGTTTTTATATACCTTTGTTCTATCAACACACCAAATTGGCAAGTGTAGAATTTGTTACAATCTCGGTGATGTGGAGCAAAATTTCGACCCGCGCAATCAAGATTTACTGTTTCTTCTTCAAGATCCACTTCATTTTCTTTATCAATTCCTGTTTGAGGACGGTTTGTGAAGACGGTAGTTAATCGAGTAGTTCTTCTTGTTGGAGCACCCGTCGTTGATGAAGGAGACCACCAAACGGTTGAAGTTTTTTGCGGTTTTGGAGTCGTTGTCCTCATTATATCAGACTCAACTTTAATAAATTACTTTGAATTAAATTAAGGTATCTTAATAACAAATAAATCTTACTTTCAGCTCTCTCTTCAAGTCTACACCTAGGATCAGGACCAGGGTAATTTCTTAAAACTCTATTAATTGTTTTTAATAGAGGATAAGATTCGCATTCACAATAATCTTTAAAATCGTCTAAATCTAAAGCCCAAATCATCGCTCCACCTAAATCCATGGCTTTTACAAATTCACTCTTATGCCTAATCATTGGTGAATCATCAAATGACACCCACTGATCTCCTTTGTAAGCATAAGGTCCAATACGTCCTCTCTTATCTCTAACAACGGTCCATTTTTTATTACGAATATTTTTACATATTTCATAGTACGATAAAAATCCTCGAGCTCTGGTTGCTTCACCTGCCTCGCCACCTCCATAAGTAGGGGCATTTAAGCCGTGATTACTTGCTTCAGCTAAAGAGAATGATTGACCGTACATTGGCATTCCCATCACTAATTTTTTACGATCAGCACCTTGTTCTATCCAATAGTTGATTGTAAAATTGGCATTAAACGTTGGATCATCGTCTGGTGTTGCGTACATTGGCGCAATATGCCCAGTTTTTTTATCCCACTGACCATGGAAATCATATGTCATAACGGCAATCCAATCGAAATAATAAGACAGTTGTGGAACATCATAACCAGCATCAATAACCTTTTTATTTGGTGAAACGGCTGAAGATAAAAGCAAACCTTTGGGCACGAAAGCTTCAGACAACTCACGAACTAAGTCTGAAAAACTTTCTTTTTCGTCAGGAGAACCTTTCTTACAATCCACTTGCCAGCATACGGGGTACTCCCAATCAAGATCAAGACCTTCGAATCCATACTTTTCAATAAATTCAACAACGTGTCTTATAAAGCGTGCTCTTGCACTTGGATTTCTAACCAAACGTGAATATTTGTCACCGGCTGAATCATTCCACCCACCAATTGCCACTGTTACTTTAATACCCTTAGCTTTATAAGCAACGATTCTTTCATAAAATTTATTGTCAAGGTCAGCCCAAGAATCATGAGGTTTTATTGTCAATGAATCGCGATCTAAAACTGCAAAACCATAAACTATATGTGTACACAAATCAGCGTCAATATCTTCCGGTAAATACTTTCCACCACCTTGTCTATACCAAGCCCAATTTGTGAAGTAGCAAACCACTTTAAAATCATTGGTTAATTGACTAGATGCAGAACCTGGTGATCCAATTCCATTCTCTTCAACTTCCATATTGGGGTCGATGTAATCCATTGAGTCATGAGGTGCTTCAATTATTTCGGAATCTCCAGTTGACGTTGGTTCTACTAACACAATATTGGTTTCAATATTATCTGGGATACTCTCATGTTGCTCATCATAACATTCTTCATAATCTCCTTCTGAACCAGGTTCTTCCTCTTCTTTATTGTTATTATAATCAACGTCAATAGCTATATTTAAAGAATAGTAATAATAAAATAAAATAAGGACTAATATGGAAATGCTTACTAGATCCCGGACCGCCTGGAGGATCTCTTAATATCTCTCTGATCGTGGTTAACAAAGGATGTACGCCTTCGCCACAATGATTGTTGAAATCATCCAAATCCAAAGCCCAAACCATTCCACCTCCAAGATTCCAATCGCGAACTAATTGTGATTTACGTTTTAAAATTTCTTGATCGTCATATGATACCCACTGATTGTCTTTATATGCGTAAGGGCCCATTCGCCCTTTTTCATCTCTAACAACATTCCAATTACGGAAATTAACACGATCACAAATCTAAAAGAGAGTTATTTTAATCAATGTAAATTTTACAATAAATAAAAATAGTTTATCTCATAATTTACTTCGTAATAAGCTAAAAATCCAGCAGCCCTCGTATGTTCTCCGGCCTGTCCAGGTCCTGGAGCATGTGAATTCAAACCATGATTTGTGACGTCTGATATTGTAAACGATTGACCATAAAGTGGCATTCCCATAACAATCGTACGAGACGGGGCTCCCTTCTCTATCCAGTAATTAATTGAGAAATTGGCATTGAAATAATCGTAATCATCGTCTGGATGATAAAATAATGGAGCAACATGACCGGTTTTTTTATCCCATTGACCGTGATAATCATATGTCATAACGGCGATCCAGTCGAAATATTTTGCTAATTCAGGTACATCGTAGCCAAGATCAATGATTTTTTTGCTTGGTGACACAGCGGTTGAAAGTAATAATCGCTTAGGTCTGAAAACGGCTGATAATTCTCTTACTAAACTAGTAAATCCTTCTTTTTCATCGGGGAATCCTTTATTACATTCAGTCTGCCAACATACGGGATATTCCCAATCTAAATCTAAGCCTTCAAAGCCGTATTTTTCAATAAATTCTGTAGCCTGCCTTACAAATCTTGCCCTACTAGCAGGATTTCGTACTAAGCGACTATACTTATCACCTTGAGAATCATTCCAGCCACCTAACGCTAAACTTACTTTTACACCTCTTTCTTTCAAAGCAGCTACTCTTTCATAAAATTTATTGTCAATGTCAGCCCATGAATCATGAGTTCGAATCGTTAATTCTGAATAATCTAGTACTGCGAATCCATATACAATATGCGTGCAAAGATCTGTATTTATGTCATCTGGAGTATACCGTCCAATTCCTTTACGGTACCAAGCCCAATTTGTGAAATAACACACAACTTTGTAATAACCAGACAATGGGTCTAATACTGGTTTTTCATTTGGAAAAGTCGGGCGACTTGTAGTGGTTGTTGTTCCCAAACTTGGAGCATATCCTGGTCTTCTTGTTGTTACCATACTTGAAATATCATTTTCATGTCCATCATTATCGACCTCAGGTAAACTTCCGCCAGAACCCTCCGAACAATGGGCATTTTTTGGCCAATCACAAACTTGAGCATTTTGATTCCAATGTAGACCAGGAGAACAACTTGCCGCTTCCAGTCTATTCCAATTACATATAAGATATTGATTGCAATCTCCAGGGTATGGTACAAAAGTATTACCATCGCAAGGATCATCTGCTAAAGCCTTAAGCGGACTTGATTTTAATAATGGATGAGAAATTCTTAAAAGTTTATTATAAAGCGTAATTGAGACACATTTCACGTTTTCTTCTAAGTCACAACTACTTTCCTTAATATTCCATTGCAAACCAGGACCACATTGCTGTGTAATTCTGCGGTTATTAACACAAACATAAAAACTATCACATTCTTTATGAGGATAGAACATTCCATTTTCGCAACTTGTTAGAGCGCCAAACGTCGGTCTTGCAGTTGTTGGGAAAGGTTTTTTGGTTGTGGTTCTCTTTGCAGGCTTTGTTGTATTAGGAATTTTCGTAGTCGTTGAGGTAGTTGTAATTTTTCTTGTAGTAGTGCTTCTAATTATACTTGTTGAAGGCATTGGTTTAGTTGTTGTTCTCTTAATAGGAGCCACTGGCTTAGGAGTTTCGCCGCGTTTATTAAGCTCACATTTGGCGGAATCTGGCCAGTCACATAATCTTATGTTTTCATTAAAATGCAAACCTCCGGCGCAATACTGCAACCTCATCTCTCCAAAAACGCATTGATAATAAGAATTGCAATTATTTTCATTTCGTCTCACTTCCCCAACGTCACATTTCCTTCCTTCTAATGGATTGTCAGGCATAATAACCGAGGGAACCGGAATGGTTGTATGTTCTGTTGGTGGTTTGGTTACTTTTGTAGTTGTCATTGTGGTTCTCTTTGAAGGAGGTTTTGTAGTAGTTGTCACCGTTTGAGGCATTCTTGTTGTAGATGTTGAAATAGGCCACCATGTAGATGTTTCTGGTTTTCTTGAAGTTGGATGCCATGAAGGCCATGTTGTATGTTCATGTATTGGAGGAGAGCCGTTTTCACTAACAGTTGTCATTATAGGAGCGGCCGGTGTAACTGGTTCTTGCGGTTTCTGACAATTAGTGCCACTTGGAGGCGGACTGGATAAACGGCCTAAAGCTCTGTTGATTGCTTTCAATAACGGGAATGATTCACCACAACACCGATTTCTAAAATCATCTAAATCAATTGTCCAAGCGGCTACACCTCCAAAACCGTTATTTGATGCATAGCGCGCTTTAGCTTCCACTGACGAAGCGTCTTCATATCCCACCCATTGATTTTTCAACATGGCATATGGCCCAGATTTGTGAGAAGGGTCTCTTCCAGTTAACCATTTATTCTTTCTTATTCGTTGGCAGATTTCATAATAAGCCAGCATGCCTGGTTGTTTAGTAAATTCACCAGGCTCTCCAGGTCCTTCAGCTGCAGCTCCTTCCCCTACAAGAGTAGATCTTTCACTTCGGAGGGTATATGATTGACCATAAAATGGAATTCCCATTATTAACTTTTCAGGTGCAGCACCGCTCTTCACTAATAATTGCATTGTAAAATCAACATTATATTGAGGATACTTATCAGATGGTCTTTCATACAAAGGACTTACATGTCCAGTTTTCAATTCCCAAGCTCCATGATAATCATATGTCATAACAGTTAGATAATCAACATTTTTAGACAATTCTTTTAAGTCATATGCTTCAGAAATAACTTCTTTATAGCCAGAAATAGCAATTCCCAACTGTAAATCGGGATCAGATCGATCAAACTCAGAACGGATATCAGCTATTAGTTTGGAGAAATTTGGCTTATCACTTGAGGGGCCTTTTCTGCAATCACTCTGCCAACATTTCGGATAATTCCAATCTAGATGAATTCCTTTAAAACCATGAGTTTTTAAAAATAGAACTAAATTCGAGGCGAATTGTTTTCTAGCAGATGCACTTGCAGCTAATCTTGAATATTTGTTTTCAGTAGAATCAGTCCAACCACCCATTGCAATGAGAACAGGAATATCAAGTGAAGTTGTTCTCCTATATAAATCATTATCATTATCAACCCAGGGATCAAATTGTTTAATTAATAACGAATCTGGATCCAAAGATGCATAAGAATAAATTAGAGCTGTACAAAGTTGTGTGTCAACATTCTCTGGTGCGAATTTACCGTCACCATCTCTATAATGAGCCCAACTTGTAAAATAACATAAAACTTTAGGTTTTGAATTAAAATCTTTATCACGAATTCGTAAACGCTGTAATGTTGATTCTTCAACTTGTTGGCGGAATGAATTAACGTCAACAATTTGCTGATATGGTGATCCATATCTATACGGTTGAGGATCATTTTTTTCATATTGTGTTGGTATTACAAAAGCAGCGTATTTTTCACCCATATTTTGATTAGTTGATGACGACGATGATGATATTCTCCTAATTGGTGATATATTTTCAACATACACAGCATTTGGGTGGGATTCCTCTGCTACATATTCAATTGCACTATATGCTTCACTATTGTGTGGTGGCATATACTCAACAGCTGCACGTATAAAACTTTTTCCCAAATTTGATATTTCATCCTTTGGTCCTATCGAAGGTACTGTTTCGACAGCACTCCGTAAAGGTAAAAATAAATCACCAAATTCTGGTTTGATGGAAAACTTTGCCAAATTTTTAAAATTAAATTCTCCATTATCTTCTGATTCTTCTTTTGATACACTTTCAACTGCTGATCTTACAAATGATGGTATACCACGTCCAGGCTCATGCAAAGCGCTAACTAATAACACGTTGAGCTAAAATTAAATAAAAACAATGAAAATAACAAATATTTCAAATTAATTTTTTTTTCTATTTATAATGAATAATGCCGAACTTACCAGCAAAAGTGCTGCTCCATTTAAAAATATCATTTTATTTTATTCACACAGTAACGGTGTACCTCTTTTGTTCAGCGTTCAAACTATAATGAAATTGTTAAAGAAAAATATTTAAAAAATATTTAAATGAATTTACTTTGAAAAATAGCTATAGTTTTTATTCGTTTTTATAATAACAAAGGAATTGAGCAAAAAAAAAAGAAAAACGATGATAGTGGAATTGAATTAATTGAAAGCAGTGAAATGCTTCTAACAAGAACACCTCAAAGAAATAACCATTGATGATATGTGACATGAATTTTAATAAATTTTTATGGGCTAATGACCAAGAGACCTTAATAATTTACAAATTATTTGTTTATTATTTATATATTTAGTTCTTTTGGAACTTTTTCAAATCATGTTATATATGCATACATACATACGTATATTATAATGAAAAGAATATTTATGCCTTAGAGTTTAGTTTCTTAAATAAATGCTGTTGACTTTGTTTACAATAAAGTGAATCATTAAATTTCCGTAAATGCATGCCAGACATGAAAGTCATTTAAAGGTGACACGTTCAGAATACGCTTAATAAATTGAATATATAAACAATTAAATTTTATGAAAATTTAATAATAAATAATTTTTTTGTTCAATGGAATGATACCTATATATAAACGTACGTTTATGTGTTACATATACATGTATGTAACTACATAAAATGAAAGGAAAACGATATTAAGGTGATAAAGATATTAAAATAGAATTAATCACTTTTTCATAAAAGTTTGAAATATTTTCAAATTAAAATTATTTCTATACGATTTGCAAGGACATTAAATGTATCAAGCATCAAAGTGATAATAGAGTTAAAAATATTTATTTCAGTTGTAATGTAGTCCAAATTTTATCCTAATACAGTAATGCACTTGGCTTTTTAATTATATTTTATTACTAGCATAAATAAATTTACGGTAAAAATACGATATTCAAATCTCAAATTTCAAATACAAATGTACTTGTTCTTTGTCAAAGTTTAATTCTGTTACAAAAATTCTGCTTTTCTTAAACTTACTTATTTTAATTTCATAGAAAATATCTGCACCTACTTGTAAGACTGTAATTTTACAAAAAGTATTTTGATGTAAGTACAGTTCGACATGTATAGTTTGACACTGTAATGAGAAAAGCACTTTTTCGATTTTAAATATTTGATAAATTTTTTAAAAAATAAATAGATGGCATAATTATTACCGTTAGTAATAATTATACCATCTTAAGACAATCAAAAATTCATGTAATTTTTTAAATAAAATTGAACTAAAGACGTGAGCATGAAAACAATTCACTATTATCAGACAAAGTAAGCATAGCATACAAAATAATTTCTCAACTTAATGTTAACATTCCAAATTGAGATAATGACAATTTTGGATATTTTCCAATTGAGCTACAACAAATGTTATTACTACTATTATGTGTATATTACTGACTATTATTACTTCATTCATTAAAATGTACCTAATTGTAAATAATTAAAATCATATTTATAAAATGATTCCATATTTTATTAATTTTCAAGTTCAGCAATCACTTGTTAAAATATTTATTATATTAACTTTTATTATTTTTTATATTTACATGATTTTTATTACTATATGCCAATAAAGAAATACAAATACCTTTAACTTATAAGCAGTAATTATTAACCAATCATTACACATAATGTGTACATAGGTAAACTTCACAATATTCGTAATAATATGTATATTGATACATACATACATCCTATAATATTTAGCATTCCATATACCCAACTCATTCATAAGAAATAAATATAACACAAAAAAAAAAGTAGAAATAAAAATTGTTAAATAGAAGAACTAAAAGAAAAAACAAAAGAAACCATGCGGTCAAATTAAATCACAAGCGAAGGCATAGTGAAATTAATTATACTCTAAATTCTTATACCAAATGAAGAAAAAAAATATCACAGTTTAAGCGTAACCGCCGACTTACATATTAGCACCTTTTATAATATTGTGTAAAAGATGATAAATGATTTTTAATTGAAGCAAAAGTTCTATATACTTATACAAAAAAGTTTTCTTGATATTTTACTCTTACCGGCATGAAAGAATATAAAAATACCCACACACGTGATAATATAATGCTGTATAAATAGTTTTACGGCAGATTGGATATGTTAAATAACCGATTAATAGATAAATAAAGATAAAAAAGAAAAGTGACCAAAATAAAAACAGGTTGGTCAAAGTACAAAATGATTTGAGAACATATACGTATGAGCGTGTGAGTATGTATACCGGTATGCCTGTGGCATAGGTATATTTTATTTTATATTCACACCTACATATAAATATGTTTACATAGAATTTACACATGTCCAAATACTGTATAAGCATTATGTATTGTATAAATATTACATAATATTTAGATTTAGTTGCAAAAGAGAAGGTGTTAAAATTTATGTATTACCAATACTTTATAAGAAAAAGGAATACAAACATGAAGGCTGTAAATCAAAAATATAATTATCTATAACTTTCACGCCTGACAATTGAAGAGGTAAGTGAACAAAAGGGTTAACTAACATTTTGACGAAAATCAAACTACTCGGATAGAACATTAGATTAAATTTGATATATTTTCAACTGTGATTACTCTTATAGCTAGAAACTTAATAGAAGACGAGATTGACAGTGCACATAGGAGACGAGATTGACAGTGCACATAGGAGTCGAGTTTGACAGTGCTTAAGTAACAAAAAAATTTATATTTTTGCAATTTATTAATGAAAAAATGTGTTAAGATGCAAATGTAAGTTAAAACCTTTGTCGCTTCAATTTTAAAATGATGTACAATTTATTATATAGAGTATTTTTATAGTTTATTGCAGTTGGTTACAGTTTGAGACCTATCTCAGTTTAATAAAAGTCTTTGTTTCTTGAAATTTTAGCAAGTTCAATTACATATTTACTAGCTAAAGTGAAAGGAAACAGTTAATTGTAAAAAGTGAAAAGAAACTGTTAAATCTTTATTTTTTTTCAAAATTTTGTGAGGCTACCTTGAAATCTTCCTATTGAGAAAAAAAATAATAAAAAAAATAGTATACAAATATTCAAGAGCCTATTTTAGAACGTCATATTAAGAAAAGTAAGCATGTACTAAGAATCAACTAAGAAAATAAGGAATGTATACTTTTTTAATTCATACTTCGTACAAGACGTTTTCATAATTCCAAATTGAAGAAAAAACTGCCAAACATTTCTTTTTTATATCTTTGATTACTTTCTTTTCATTTATAACAAAAAAAAACTACTTCATTAGTAGAAAATTTTAAAGGTAAAGTTTTTCATTTAAAACTGGCAAGTTGCTTATTTTCTTACTTAGTTAAGTAACTCCTCATACACATAGCCAAAGTAGGTGCCAATGTAGACAAGTAAAAATGATAACCATAAATCAAGTTTTTACGTTTTTTTCATGTATTCTATGGTATTTTGGCGCACTTTTCTATTCTATTAACGAATATAAAAGTAATATTATGTAAATGGGTACACATGCACCTATACATACAAATTATTATTTGTAAAACGGTTATTGTACATATATATTATGTACAAAAATGTTCTTAAATGTTCAAAGATAAAAGAAATAGATTGTATGTATGTAGGTAAGAATGTGAGATAATATAGAATAAATTAAAAAAGGTTTTTAACCATTTTTCTCATTTATAATTCAAATAGAATTTATTTGATTAAATTCCGTTATGTTGATACGTTACACATACATATTTTGTATACAGCAATCCCTCGCCCATAGCGTAACCTCTTACTACAGACTTTCAATACAAGTATGTAAATTTTACTTTTCCAACCAATTTTCATTTAATGTCATTTTTATATAGTTGTGTACTTCATTTTTGACACAAATTTTTGTGTCAGTTTTAAACAAATTTTGTTTCTTTATGATTTATGTATGTATTTTATATGTTTTATGTATATGTATATTATATTTTATGTTTTCTTTGTGTTTAAAAGTAAAATCATTTAATAATCTAATTTTTTTTAAATTTAATTTTCTCTCTATCAAAATAACATTTACTAGTTTAGGCAAATAATAAGTATTAGTTAAGCTCAGTGATTCCCAAAGTGGTCCATATAGACCCGCAGGGGTCCATGGAGACCTGGATCTACGAAGGTAAAAAAAAATTGGGAGTCTATTAAATGAAAATGGAGGTCTACAAAATTAAAAATTGAGGTTGAACCTCACTATATTAATGTCACACATTGATAATTTATTGTCAAACCACCAAATTCATCCCTCCCATTAAATTATTTTTATTTTTTATAAATATGTATGTGAATTTACTTTTTTGTTTAATTTTGCTCATGTAGGGAATTACTTTACTTCTATTTAAAACTAATAATTAAATTATTTAAATTTAATAAAAAAATTTGAATTTAATAAGTTTTTATTTAACATTCTCAAATCATATATTGGTGTACCTTGCAAGTACTAGAAATATAAATCTATCAAAGCAGGGCTCTATCAAAAATTGAAAAATACGATAAGGAGTCTACGAGAAAAAAATTTTGGGAATCTCTGGTTTATCTTGGATTTCTATAACGTAAAAAATTTTTCATCCCAAAAATTACGTTAAGCGAGGGATTGCTGTAAGTATATTATGGTTGTATGTCAGTTGACTTGTGTACGATACATTGAACGTAGAAATAATGAAATCATCGATGAAAGCGCGATGAAATCGATTTAATCTTTAATTACGAATAACACAAAAAAAAAGCAAATCATAAATAACAAAATGAAAAAACAGAAGAAACAAAAAAACAAAAAAAATAAAAGACAAAAAAGGGGAAGGTTTAACTCGCTCGATCTTTACAATCTTCTAAACATCAAATAATTTTTATTAAGAATCTTTTTTTTTCGAAAAAAAAAAGAAATTCGAAACTTAGAATTTTTTTCGATATGATTCAGATTTATTTATTTTGTTCTTTTATTATGGGGTGTTCTTAAAGTTCATTAAAATAATTAAAATACCGTTAGAACTTTTTTCC